GGTCTATTTGCATTGGCAGCCAGGTCACTGCATGTCCTAATTGGTGCAGCCGTGCACACTGTGCCTCCACCATTCGTCTACCCTGGCACCGAGGTCCTTTTGGAAGCAGGTGCGGGCTTTCCCCCAGTGTCCCTCTCAATGGCCTTGGTAGCCTTGGTGATTGGAACAAAGCCTTGGACACTGAGTTCAACAGCAAACAGCTACCCAGCTGGCTGTGCGTCCACAGGGTACAAAAGTGAGCCGTAAACTGATCGTGGTGCTTGGGCGGGACTGGTGTCCTCATGTCTAAGCAGCACACCTGTTTGGGTTTCCCTTCGGCCCCATCTCTATTCCTAGTAGTTCCAGATGGGCAGCACGGCGCTGGTGGGCACGGCCTCTGGACGTAGATAGTCAGGGTTCAAATCCTAGCTCTTCCACTTCCTAGATGTGTGGATTTACTCACTGAACTTCCCTGAACCTTAATGGTGTTACCATGTAAAAAATGAGGAGATCTTACAGCATCTTGTTCATAGGGTCATCGTGAAGGTTGAGTTAGTGAGTGTCAAGGGTTTGGGACACAGCCTGAGACACAGTAATTACTGAGTGCACATTCTCTAACAGATGCATCTTTTCTTTCTTTCTTTCTTTCTTTTTTTTTTTTTTTGAGACAGTCTTACTATGTCACCCTTAGTAGAGTGCTATGGCATCACAGCTCACAGTAACCTCCAACTCTTGGGCGTAAGCAGTTCTCTTGCCTCAGCCTCCCAAGTAGCTGGGACTACAGGTGCCTGCCATAATACCTGGCTATTTTTTTGTTGTAGTTGTCATTGTTGTTTGGCAGGCCAAGGCCGGGTTTGAACCCACTAGCCCTGGTGCATGTGGTCAGCTCCCTAGCCACTGAGCTATAGACACTGAGCCAAGATCGCATCTCTTATGTTTTGGGGGTTTTTTTGAGACACAGTTTCACTTTGTCGCCCTCGGTAGAGTGCTGGGCCTCACAGCTTACAGCAACCTTTAACTCTTGGGCTTAAGCAATTCTCTTGCCTCAGCCTCCCAAGCAGCTGGGACTGCAAGCACCTGCCACAACACTTGGCTATTTTTTGTTGCAGTTGTCATTGTTGTTCAGCAGGCCTGAGCTGGGTTTCAACCCACCAGCCTCAGTGTATGTGGCTGGCGCGGTAACTACTGTGCTACAGGCACCAAGCCAACATAAAAGTTTTTAATAGTTTGCTAACAACTTTGTGACAGTTCATCATATACAGATAATCTATTCTACACTAATTTATAAGTTGATTTTTTGCATTATAAATAGATATACAGGGCGGTGCCCATAGCTCAGTGGGTAGGGCACCGGCCACATACACCAAGGCTGGCAGGTTTGAACCTGGCCAGGCCAGCTAAAAAAACAACAATGACAACTGCAACAAAAAAATAGCCGGGCATTGTGGTGAGTGCTTATAGTCCTAGTTAGTTGGAAGGCTGTGGCAAAAGAATCACTTGAGCCCAAAAGTTTGAGGTTGCTGTGAGCTATGATGCCATGTGGCACTCTACCCAGGGTGACAGCTTGAAACTCTGTCTCAAAATAAAATAAAATAAAATAAATAGATCTACAAGATGTAGCTTCAGGCTGGGCAAAGCTACAGGCTCTGGGAGCTTCTTCAGGCTGGTAGATCATATCTGTAATCTTAGCACTTTGGGGATGTTAAGATGGGAGGGTTATCTGAGGCCAGGAGTTCTAGACCAGCCTGAGCAACATACGGAGACCCTCATCTGTACAAAAGTCAGTGGGCATAGTGGCATAGGCCTGTAATCCCAGCTACTTGGGAGGTTAAGGCAAGAGAATCACTTGAAGCCCAGGAGATTAAAGCTACAAGTGAGCTATGGTCATACCATTGTACTCCAGCCTTGGGTGACAGAGAAAAAGACCCTGTCTCTTTTTTTTTTTAATTTATTTTTTAATATATTTTATATAATATATACATATTCCCCCCATCCCCAGAAAGAAGAGAGTAGGTTGGATTTAGAGAAGTATTTAAATGATAGTGCAAAATTTCTCACTTAATAATGTGGGAGACAGGCTCAGTGGCTAGGCCGCCAGCCATATACACAGGAGCTGGAGGGTTCAAACCCAGCCCGGGCCTGCCAAACAACAACAACAACTACTACAACAACAACAACAAAAATGCTGGGCATTGTAGTGGGCGCCTGTAGTCCTAGCTACTTGGGAGGCTGAGGCAAGAGAATTGCTTAAGTCCAAGAGTTTGAGGTTGCTGTGAGCTGTGACCCCACAGCACTGTACCAAGGGCAACATAGTGAGACTCTGTCTCAAAAAAAAAAAAAATGTGTGAGACAGCCATGCACAGTGGCTCCTAGCACTCTGGGAGGCCAAGGTGGGCAGATTGCTTGAGCTTAGGAGTTCAAGACAAGCCAGAGCAAGAGAGAGACCCCATCTCTAACAAAAATAGCTGGTGTTGTGGCAGATGTCTGTAGTCCCAGCTACTTAGGAAGCTGAGGCAAGAGGATTTCTTGAGCCCAATAGTTTGAGGTTGCTGTGAGCTATGACAGCACAGTACTCTACCCCAGGGTGACTGAGTGAGACTCTGTCTCCAAAATTAAAAAGAATAATTTTTTTTAAAAAAGAATGTGACTGGCTCAGCGCCTATAGCTCAACCGGCTAAGGCGCCAGCCACGTACACCTAAGGTGGCGGGTTCGAATCCCCAGCCCGGACCCGCCAAACAA